AAATTTATTCCTCACAGTTCTGGAAGCTGAGATATCTAAAATCAAGGCACCAGCAGTGTCTGGTGAGTATCTGCTTCCTTACTGATAATGTGCCCTTGCATTTTAAAAAGATTCCACCTTTATGACTTAATTACCTTCCTGAAGGCCCTGCCTCATAATAATATCACATTGGGGATTAAGTTTCAACATAGAAATATGGTGGCAGTGGGGGGCGGTGAGGACAGAAGCATTCTGACCATAGTACATAGGAAAATTCATTCTTAATTTCAAGCAACCAACTGACTTGAACATGAACTTTGGGAAATGGAAAAAAGAAGTCTTTATCATTATACCAAGTTGGCTTTTAGGTTTCTAAATCATCAACAATGTAGGAGCAGTGTGAGCAAAGGTCTAGAGACTGGAAATAATAGTGTGTACAAAATGTTAAGAAAAGTTTACATTGAAGCTGGGTAAGGAAAGAAAGGTTTATTTCTTACTTATATAAAGGTCTGGAGGGCTAGTATAATGCTCTAAGTTCTTCCATTTTGTTGCTGTGCTGTGAGTGGTTTCCATTTCCAAAGCCACAGATGGTGGATTCATGATCATTCATGGCTATTCCAGCTTTAAACCATGATCATATTTCAGATATCAGGAAGGAAGAAAAGAAGGCTGAAAATTATTCCCCATACCCCCTTCTTTGGTGACAGTTCCTGAAGTCACATATACCATTTCTGCTTACATTCTGCTGACCAGAATTTAGTCATGTGGTCATGTGGCAACATGTAGATGGAAAAAAAGGCTTTAGCTAGATACTATAAAGGAGGAGAACAGATTTTAGTGAATATCTAACAGTTTATTCCACAATCCAACCCTTTAGCCACCAAAATATCTTTGGTACACCCTTCTTCCTGTAGATAGAACATAACCACCTATTCTTGATCATACATGCCTGTTCTAGCTTTTAATTTTGTATGCAAACCCCAAATATGATCCATTTTAAAAATGGCTCAAAATCTAGGGTGTTGGGTTAATGCACAGTTCTTTTCATTAAGTCTAGTTCGTCCAGTAACCTGTAAACTAAAAGATAATGCATTTGCCCCATCACACCTAACATAATGAATGTATATTTGGAAAGGAGGAGAAGAGGATTAACCCAAGAGTCACGAGTTTATAGTGGTTATCAATTCTGCTAGGCTAGATAGGAATTGTAAAGGTTCCCTTCCCTAGCAGGGGAGCAATTTTCTTGATAAGTTCATCAGAATAATCCTAATTCTGCCTTTTGGAAAGGATCTTTCTTGTACATTGTATTTCCTGACCACATCTGAGGTGGTCAATGGAGAATTTGCTGCTCTAGAGTACTGAACAGCTTTTGCAGCCTGCTTCCTGTCAATACAAATGTGGGCATGAGATTTGATTTACAGGTCAATTGTGGTTTTCAGACAGCTTTGTGGTTTCTTTAGCAATTTAACACTGCTCCTTCTTCTTCCCTTAAATTAGTAGACTTCCAATCTATAGATAATCCCATGGTCACAGCCAAAGATCACATCTAGACACACTTATCCTGGCTATTGGTTTTTTATTCCCTGACTCTGTGCTTCAACATAAAGGTAATTCCTTTGAGGTCTTCTAACACAACAAGCTTAGGTGGAAAAACAGCAACCTTAATCTGATCTTTGACAACTAGGTTAGTTTTATTTATTGATTGATTGAGACAGGTCTCACTCTGTCACCCAGGCTGGAGTGCAGAGTCATGATCATGGCTCACTGCAGCCTTAATCTCCGTGGCTCAAGCCACGTAGCTAGGACTAGAGGCATGCACCATCACACCCAGTTAATTTATTTTTTGTAGAGTCAGGTTCTTAATGTGTTTTCCAGACTGGTCTCAAACTCCTGGACTCAAGCAGTCCTTCCTCCTTGGCCTCCCAAAGTGTTGGAATTACAGGCATGAGCCATCATGCCCAACCAATGAAGAAATCTTACAGAAAAGTGTTTTTTAAAAGCTTAGAACCACAGTCTCATCTTCTGTCACCATCACTGTAGAGTGCTACTTTTTATAGTTCCAGTTTGGGATGCACAAATAGTTCTTCAACCCTGCAAAGCCCAAAACCTCAGATTACTAGATTCCAAGTTAAATTTATATTTTAAACCATTCTAGTGTTCTCCTTATTTCTTTGCTCTAAGTAAATACTATGTATTTTAGGTTCTTGCAAAAGCAATTTAGTTCAAGAGAGGCAGGTGTTTCAGGATTAGGTTTAACTGCAATTAACAAAGACCCAAATTAACACTGTTTTGAACAAGCTAGGTGCTTATTTCTCGTGTAAAAGTCTGGAGGTGGGTAGTCCAGGGTTGATATGGTACTCCATCTTGTCAGAGGTTCAGACACCTTCAATCATCCCTCAGTCCTGGCTTTCATTCTTAGCATCATATCAGAATTAAAGACGACCAATCCAGGACTAGCCATTGTTTTCATTCTAGGTAGTGGAAAGAAGGAAAAAGGAGGGTACACTCACTTGCATGGACCATCTCCACTAACGTGTCATTGGCCAGAACATGTTCATATAGGCCTACCCAGCTACAAGGAAAACTGGAAAATACAGTCTTTATTTTAGGCAGCCATATGTCTCAGTTAAAAATCAGGGATTCTAGTTTTGTAGAAGGAACAAGAAATGGATATTGGCAGATAATTGGCAGTCTCTGTCACAAAGTTTATACAAGTATTAGAAAATACTGCTATATGGACACATCAGGACATTGCAGTACAGTTATTTCAATACATTTGGTGCAATCTTGAGAAAGAATTCAAAATTATTTATTTAAAAAAAAATCATATTTCTCCCTTGCTCCAAACATTCCATGGGCTTACTAGTTCTGTCAAAGCCCTAACAATGTCTTCCACAGCCCTGTTTTGTGTCCATCTCCTCCATTGCCCTTCTTACCTCATCCCAACTATATTCTCCCTTGTTCATCTATTCATCTACTTTTGCTGTTCTTCATACTTGCCACATATATCCCTCTTTAGGACCTCCCAGATGCCTGCCCTAAGGCCCCCTCCTGGGTCTACCTGGGTATCTGCATGACTAACTTTCTTGCCTCCTTCATGTCTTTGTCCAAAGGCTACCAGCTCTATGAGGCCTACAACGACAACCCTACTTAAAGTTGCAATTCCCTCCACTCCCGCATACTTGCAATTTACCTTTTCCTCATCAGTTTTTCCCTGTAGCATTTATTGCCTATTAATATCTATACAATTTTCTCATTTATGATGTTTATTGTTGATTATCTGTTTCCACTTGAAAGTAAGCTGCATAGGGCATAATGATTTTTTTTTCTACTTTGTTCACTGAAAACTTTTAAGTGCCTAGAACAATATCAGATATATTTTAGGTGCCCAGTGAATAATATGTGAATGAATGAAAGCATTTATTTCAGAGCAACAGTAAAAAAGTAAATGTAATTTACTTAAAAGTAGTATATTTTCCTTAGGCCTGGCATGTCATCTTAATTTATGACTCCTCTTTATTGTCTTAGTGGGATACTTCAGAGGTGAAATTTTGTAGCCATTTTAATCAGCATCGTGAGTCCATGATTACACCCTCAAAAGGATCCTATAGGTCAGGTATCTCCAAACCCGAGGTACTGATCCCCTACCCTTTGGTCTGTGGAAAAATTGTTTTCCATGAAACTGGTCCCTAGTGCTAAAAAGGTTGGGGACTGCTGCTATAAATAACATTGTTTGACATGATTTCTTATGGGCATGTTGTTTTGGTCATAAGAAAGTTTCAATTGTCTGTATTGCTCAATATTTCTAGATTGCAAATAAGAAAATCCCAACTCAAACTAGCTTAAGCAAAGCAAGGAAATTGTTGACTCATGTACATAAGAAACTAAAGAGGTTGTTGTTTTTAATAGCTGGTTTCATGGATTTAAATGTTGTCATCAGGAACTCACTTTCTCTCTCTCTCCATCTCTTATGTCTGTTTTCATCTCACTTGGCTTCATCTCAATGGTGGAGGTTTACATTTTTCTTAAAGTTAGCAATCCAGGAGAATAGAGCCCTGCTTGCTTTCTTCATCAGGACTCTGATTTACCAATCTCTGTGTGTGGGAGAATAGGGAATTTTTATTGGCCAGCCTTGTAGACATTCATTTCTATGTCTTGAAGGCAAGGCCACATAATTGACAGACAGAATCAGGAGGAAGGTAAGTTCCAAAAAAGAGGGACGAAGGACAGACCAAAAATAAAAATTGTTATTGTGTGCTTTTTCAGTAATTCTACTTGTAATTTATATACGCAGTTTTCCAGCAAATAGCAAAAATTAAAATGTTTTGAACAAATGAGCATTTTTTTGTTCTTAAACAGTATTGTACCAATTATAGAGTTAGATTCATATTTTTTTCTTTCTTTAGGCTCTCATCTGTTAATTTCTTTTCTTTTTTTTCAGGAGCAGACAGTTTAATAGACAAAAAAAAAAGAGAGAGAGAGAAAAGGTTTTCTCATGCTGAGAAAGTGGGTCACCGAACAGAGGGGCTCTGGTTTGCTGGAACACAATTGATTTTGTACAGAGGCTTGAGGAGGTGGTCATTAATTTACATAGGGTCCAGGGGATTGATTTGACCAGGTGTCCTATCTTCATAGCCCCTGTAAAAACTGGCCCTCCCACACTAGTTTTTAGTATTATGCAAATGAGGCCTCTACCTGGCAGTGGCCATGATGCCCGAAAAGGTGGTTTCATTTGGTGGCTGCCATCATACCAGCACATGTGGTGACAAGGAAAAGAGAGTGAAAAACACCATTTTGAATGTACCTGGCTTCCAGGTACAGCTGCCGGCATTTACATATAAAAGCTTCTAGTTTGCATATTTATACCTGACTCTTCAGGCTGCTTTCTGTTAGAGAAGAAATGGTTTGGGGCTGCATTTTATTAAAGGAAAATTCCACCCAGAACTCTCTTACCCTTTCTAGCTGCCAAAAAATAATTTTTTAATAACTCCTATAATATTGGTATATATTTTTATTTAATTGCATTTTAGGTTTTGGGGTACATGTGAAGAACATGCAAGATTGTTGCATAGGTACACATGTGGCAGTGTGATTTGCTGTCTTCCTCCCCTTCACATATATCTGGCATTTCTCCCCCTGCTATCTCTCCCCAACTCCCCACCCCATGCTGTCCCTCTCCTGTTCCCCCCAACAGACTACAGTGTGTAGTGTTCCCCTCCCTGTGTCCATGTGTTCTCATTGTTCAACACCCGCCTATGAGTGAGAACATGCAGTGTTTGATTTTCTGCCCTTGTGTCAGTTTGCTGAGAATGATGGTCTCCAGGTTCATCCATGTCCCTACAAAGGACAAGAACTCATTGTTTTTGATGGCTGCATACTATTCCATGGTGTATATGTGCCACATTTTCCCTGTCCAGTCTATCATCGATGGGCATTTGGGTTGGTTCCAGGTCTTTGCTATTGTAAACTGTGCTGCCATGAACATTTGTGTGCATGTGTCCTTATAGTAGAACGATTTATAATCCTTTGGATATATACCCAGTAATAGGATTGCTGAGTCAAGTGAAATTTCTATTTCTAGGTCCTTGAGGAATCGTCACACTGTCTTCCACAATGGTTGAACTAATTTACACTCTCACCAACAGTGTAAAAGTGTTCCTATTTCTCCACATCCTCTCCAGCATCTGTTGTCTCCAGATTTTTTAATGATCGCCATTCTAACTGGCGTGAGATAGTATCTCAATGTAGTTTTGATTTGCATTTCTTTAATGACCAGTGATGATGAGCATTTTTTGATATGTTTGTTGGCCTCATGTATGTCTTCTTTTGTAAAGTGTCTATTCATATCCTTTGCCCACTTTTGAATGGGCTTGTTTGTTTTTTTCTTGTAAATCTGTTTTAGCTCTTTGTAAATTCTTGATATCAGCCCTTTGTCAGATGGGTAAACTGCAAACATTTTTTCCTATTCTGTTGGTTGCTGATTCACTCTAATGACTGTTTCTTTTGCTGTGCAGAAGCTGTGGAATTTGATTAGGTCCCATTTGTCTATTTTGGCTTTTGTTGCCAATGCTTTTGGAGTTTTGGTCATGAAGTCCTTGCCTATGCCTATGTCCTGAATGGTTTTGCCTAGATTTTCTTCTAGGGTTTTTATGGTGTTAGGTCTTATGTTTAAGTCTTTAATCCATCTGGAGTTAATTTTAGTGTAAGGTGTCAGGAAGGGGTTCAGTTTCTGCTTTCTGCACATGGCTAGCCAGTTTTCCCAACACCATTTATTAAACAGGGAGTCATTTCCCCATTGCTTGTTTTCATCAGGTTTCTCAAAGGTTGGATGGTTGTAAATATGTTCTGATGCCTCCGAGGCCTCTGTTCTGTCCCATTGGTCTATATCTCTGTTTTGGTACCAATACCATGCTGTTTTGATTACTGTAGCCTTGTGGTATAGCTTGAAGTCTGGTAGTGTGATGCCTACCGCTTTGTTCTTTTTGCTTAGAATTGACTTTGCTATGTGGGCTCTCTTTTGGTTCCATATGAAGTTTAAGGTGTTTTTTTTCCAGTTCTGTGAAGAAGGTCATTGGTAGCTTGATGGGGATAGCATTGAATCTGTAAGTTACTTTGGGCAGTATGACCATTTTCACGATATAGATTCTTCCTAACTGTGAACATGGAATGTTTCTCCATCTGTTTGTGTCCTCTCTTATTTCATTGAGCAGTGGTTTGTAGTTCTCTTGAAAAGGTCCTTTACGTTCCTTGTTAGTTGTATTCCTAGTAGGTATTTTATTCTCTTTGTAGCAATTGTGAATGGCAGTTCGATCTTGATTTGGCTCTCTTTAAGTCTGTTATTGGTGTATAGGAATGCTTGTGATTTTTGCACATTGATTTTGTATCCTGAGACTTTGCTGAAGTTGCTTATCAGTTTCAGAAGATTTTGGGCTGAGACGATGGGTTCTTCTAGATATACAAACATGTTGTCTGCAACTAGAGACAATTTGACTTCCTACTTTCCTATTTGAATACACTTTATTTCTTTTTCTTGCCTGATTGCTCTGGCTAGAACTTCCAGTACTATATTGAATAGGAGTGGTGAGAGAGGGCATCCTTGTCTAGTGCCAGATTTCAAAGGGAATGCTTACAGTTTTTGCCCATTCAATATGATATTTGCTGTTGGTTTGTTGTAAATAGTTTTTAATATTTTGAGATATGTCCTGTCAATACCTAGTTTATTGAGTGTTTTTAGCATAAAGCGCTGTTGAATTTTGTCAAAGGCCTTCTCTGCATAAATTGAGATAATTGTGGTTTTTGTCTTTGGTTCTGTTTATGTGGTGAATTACGATTATAGACTTGCATATGTTGAACCAGCCTTGCATCCCCGGGATGAATCCTACTGGATCATGGTGGATAAGCTTTTCGATGTGCTGTTTCAATCGGCTTGCCAGTATTTTATTGAAGATTTTTGCATCTATGTTCATCATCAATATTGGCCTGAAGTTTTCTTTTCTTGTTGAGTCTCTGCCGTGTTTTGGTATCAGGATGATGTTGGTCTCATAAAATGATTTGGGAAGGATCTCCTCTTTTTGGATTATTTGGAATAGTTTCAGAAGGAATGGTACCAGCTCCTCTTTGTATGTCTGATAAAATTCAGCTGTGAACCCATATGGACCTGGGCTTTTTTTGGGTGGTAGGCTCTTAATTGCTGCCTCAACTTGAGACCTTTTTATTGGTCTATTCAGGGTTTCAACTTCTTCCTGCTTTAGGCTTGGGAGGACACAAGTGTCCAGGAATTTATCCATTTCTTCCAGGTTTACTAGTTTATGTGCATAGAGATGTTTGTAATAATCTCTGATGATGGTTTGAATTTCTGTGGAATCTGTGGTGATATCCCCCTTACCGTTTTTTTATTGCTTCAGTTTGGTTATTCTCTCTTTTCTATTTTATTAATCTGGCTAGTGGTCTGTCTATTTTGTTGACTTTTTGAAAAACTAGCTCTGGTATTTATTGATTTTTTTGAAGGGTTTTTTGTGTCTCTATCTCCTTCATTTCTGCTCTGATCTTAGTTATTTCTTGTCTTCTGCTAGGTTTTGAGTTTTTTTTATCTTGCTCCTCTAGCTTTTTCAATTTTGATGATAGGGTGTAATTTTAGATCTCTCCTTGCTTCTTATGTGGGTATGCTATATATATTTTTCTCTAGAGACTGCTTTTAATGTGTCCCAGAGATTCTGGTATGTTGTGTCTTCATTCTCGTTGGTTTTGAAGAACTTCTTTATTTCTGCCTTCATTTCATTGTTTATCCAGTCAACATTCAAGAGCCAGTTGTTCCGTTTCCATGACGCTGTGTGATTCTGAGTTAGTTTTTGAAATCTGAGTTCTAACTGGATTGCTCTGTGGTCTGAGAGACTGTTTGTTATGATTTCCATTCTTTTGCATTTGCTGAGGAGTGATTTACTTCCAATTATGTGGTCAGTTTTAGAGTAGGTGTGATGTGGTGCTGAGAAGAATGTATATTCTGTGGATTTGTGTTGGAGAGTTATGTAAATGTCTATTATGTTTGCTTGTTTCAAGTGTGAGTTCAAGTCCTGGATATCTTTGTTAATTTTCTGTCTGCTTGATCTGTCTAATATTGACAATGGGGTGTTAAAGTCTCCCACTATTATTGTGTGGGAGACTAAGTCTCTTTGTAAGTCATTAAGAACTTACCTTATGTATTGGGTGCTCTTGTATTCGCTGCATATATATTTAGGATTGTTAGCTCTTCTTGTTGCATTGATCCTTTTACCATTATGTAATGTCCTTTGTCTCTTTTGTTCTTTGTTGGTTTAAAGTCTATTTTATCAGAGATGGGAATTGTAACTCCTGCTTTTTTTTTTTTTTTCTCCATTTGCTTGGTAAATCTTCCTCCATCCCTTTATTTTGAGCCTTTGTGTATCCTTGCATGTGAGATGGGTTTCCTGGATACAGCACACTGATGGGTTTTGGCTTTTTAGCCAGTTTTCCAGTCTGTGTATTTTGATTGGGGCATTTAGTCCATTTACATTTAGAGTTAATATTGTTATGTGTGAATTTGATACTGCTGTTTTGATGCTAGCTGGCTGTTTTGTCCATTAGTTGATGCAGATTCTTCATTGTGTTGATGCTCTTTACCATTTGGTGTTTTTGGAGTGGCTGGTACTGGTTGTTCCTTTCTATGTGTGGAGCCTCTTTCAGGAGCTCTTGTAAAGCAGGCCTGGTGGTAATGAAATCTCTGAGTACTTGCTTGTTCGCAAAGGATTTTATTTTTCCTTCACTTATTAAGGTTAGTTTGGCTGGATATGAAATTCTGGGCTGAAAGTTCTTTTCTTTAAGGATGTTCAATATTGACCCCCACTCTCTTCTGGCTTGTAGAGTTTCTGCTGAGAGATCTGCTGTGAGTCTGATGGGCTTCCCTTTGTGGGTAACCCAACATTTCTCTCTGGCTGCCCTGTGCATTTTCTTTTTCATTTCAACCCTTGTGAATCTGATGATTATGTGCCTTGGGGTTGCTCTTCTTGAGGAATATTTTTTGTGATGTTCTCTGTATTTCCTGGACTTGAATATTGGCCTGCCTTGCTAGGTTGGGGAAGTTGTCCTGGATAATATACTGAAGAGTATTTTCCAGCTTGGATTTTTTCTCTTCGTCACATTCAGGTACACCTATCAAACCTAGCTTAGGTTTTTTTCACATAGTCCCACATTTCTTGGAGACTTTGTTCATTCCTTTTTACCCTTTTTTCTCTAATCTTGCCTTCTCATTTTATTTCATTGAGTTGATCTTTGACCTCTGATATCCTTTCTTCTACTTGGTCACTTCAGCTATTGAAACTTGTGCATGCTTCGTGAAGTTCTTGTGTTTTGTTTTTCAGCTCCATCAATTCACTTATATTCTTTTCTAAGTTGTCCATTCTCATTATTATTTCATCAAATCTTTTTTCAAGGTTCTTAGTTTCTTTGCATTGGGATAGAACTTTTTTTTTTTAGCTCACAGAAGTTTCTTATTACCCACCTTCTGAAGCCTGATTCTGTCATTTTATCATACTCATTCCCCATCCAGCCTTATTCCCTTGCTAGTGAGGAGTTGTGATCCCTTGTAGGAAGAGAGGTGTTCTGGTGTTGGGTGTTTTCATTCTTTTTGCACTGGTTTCTTCCCATCTTTGTGGATTTGTCCACCTGTTGTTTTTGTAGTTGCTGACTTTCAGATTGGGTCTCTGAGTGGACATTCTGTTTCTTGATGATGAAGTTATTTCTGTTTTCTAGTTTTCCTTCTAACAATCTGGCCCCTCTGCTGTAGGACTGCTGAGGTCCACTACAGGCCCTGCTTGCCTGGGGATCACCTGCAGCAGCTGCAGAACAGTAAGGGTTGCTACCAATTTCTTCTTCTGCTATCTTTGTCCCAGAAGGATACCCACCAAATGTCAGTCTGATCTCTCCTTTATGAGGTGACTCTTTGGACATACAGGGGTCAGGGAGCTGCTTGGGAGACAGTCTGTCCTTTTTAGGAACTCAAGTGCTGAGCTCTGAGGTCCGTTGTTCATTCAGAGCTGCTGGGCAGGTACGTTTATGTCTGCTGCAGCAGAACTCATAAACCGCTTTTTGTTCCTAGGTGCTCTGTCCCAGGGAGTTAGGGCTTTATTTATGAGTTTCCATTTGTGCTGCTGCCTTTTTTTCAGGGCTGCCCTGCCCAGCAAGGAGGCAGCCTAGTCACTGTCTGCCTGCAGAAGCTTTGCTAAGCTGCTGTGGTCTCCGCCCAGCTGCTGTGTGAACTTCCCTGCAGTCCTGTTTATATGGGGGCAGTTAGAACTGCCTCAGCAATGGTGGCCCATCTCTGTATTGGTGGACTCTCTCTGTAGTGGCAGGTTGCCTTGGCAATGGCAGGCTGCCTCAGCCATGGCGGACTACCTCCATAGTGGTGGAGTGCCTTGGTAATGGTGGACACCCCTTTTCCACAGAGCTGGACCATCCCAGGTTCAGCTGTGCTTGCTGTGAAACTCTCAATCCAGAGAGTTTCTGATTGCTGTTCTTTTGTGGGGGTTGGACCAGCTGAGCTGGATCACCTGGCTCCCTTCCTCAGAGGCTTTTTTTTTTTTTTTTTAGTTGAATAGTCGACTCTGTCCCAGGTGTTCCAGTCACCTATTGAAAAGGCACTGGGATCTCTGTGATTTCCCATGTGGTGACTCACTGCGCCAGCTTAAACGACAGTGCTGAGATTCATGGCACTTTTTTTGCCCAGGAATCTCCTGGCCTGGCTCTGTGTTCAGTCCCCTTTTAAATCAGATGAATGGGTGACTTCCTGGGGCTCCAATCAGACCAGTGTGTTTTACCAGGGCGCTGGCAAAGCAGCCCCTCTGGGCAAAGCCACCACACGGGCCAAAACAGCTGCACTGGCGACCCGTGGGGCTCCTCTGCCTAGGAATCTCCTGGTCTTTGGGCAATAAAAATCTGTCTGGAAATGCGGTGTCCACTCACTCTCTGCACTTTCACTGGGAGCTGCAATCCTGAGCTGTTCCTAAATGGCCATCTTGGATCTTTCGACCCTCATCTGTAAATTTCTAAAGGAATTTCACATTTAATGGTTGCTATATGGTCTAAAATGACATGATGACAAGTAAGTTGTGATTAACGCCCAGCCTCTATGTGTAATCTATGTAGGATTTTACATTTAAAATTAAATAACATTCTTTATCACTTTTAGCTGAAAATGGCAAAAATAGAAGCAGAAGATCACAGAGAAGTACTATCTCAGTCTTCTTCATCCCCCTTGACTAAAACAATGGAAGTATTACAGCAAAGTAGCCCTGAAGGCACCTTGGATGGGAATACTATAAGCCCAATTTACAAATATATTTTGAATGATTTACCAAGGTAAGAACTTTATTTCAGCAGCTTAAACTGAATACCGAAGGGGATAAAAGTATTTATAGGAAATAGTTTAGATGTTCAATCAGTCTTGGCTGGGTGAGGTGGCTCATGCCTGTAATCCCATCACTTTCGGAGGCCAAGGCAGGTGAATCACTTGAGGTCAGGAGTTGGAGACCAGCTTGGCCAACATGGTGAAACCCCATCTCTACTAAAAATACAAAAAAATTAGCTGGGCATGGTGATGGGCACCTGTAATCCCAGCTACTCAGGAGGCTGAGGCAGGAGAAATGGTTGAACCCAGGAGGAAGAGGTTGCAGTGAGCTATTATGCCACTTGACTCTAGCCTGGGTGACAGAGTGAGACTGTTCCAAAAAAAGAAAGTTCAAGTAGAGGTGACATAAATAAGTAATTTTGAGATGTGTTGGGTTATGGAGGTTGTTGCTTAGGGTACAGCCCTTCCATTTTTTCTCCTTTTTCTGAAGAAAAAAATATACATGATGCAATAAACATAAATTATCTCTGGGATCTGACTTGAACAGCATAGTGATAATAAGGATAATGGCAGGTAGTACTTGTTAAGTGCCAGTCACTTAACCTGCATTATATCAATTTTGTTCTCAAAACAGCACTAGCAGGAATATAAAACAGATGGTAGTCTAAATATCTTCATTTTACCTAGAGGAAGAAAAGGCAGAGAGAGGTTTATTAACTTGACTAAGCTCATGCAGCTAGTAAGTAGAGAAGGTATGGGATGAACTCAAATGGATCTAACACTAAAGTGTTTATCAGAAATATGAAGCAGAGGAGACAGGGGTATTATTTCTGTGCTTTTACTCTGTTAGAAAGTGAAAGAACTGGCTAGATGCAGTGGCTCACACCTATAATCCCAGCACTTTGGGAGGCCAAAGCAGGCAGATTATAAGGTCAGGAGTTTGAGACCAGCCTGGCCAATACGGTGAAACCCCGTCTTTACTAAAAATACAAAAATATTAGCTGGGCATGGTGGCAAGCACCTGTAGTCCCAGCTACTTGGGAGGCTGAGATAGAAGAATTGCTTGAACTCAGAAGGCAGAGGTTGCAGTGAGCTGAGATCACGCCACTGCACTCCAGCTTTTGGGCAACAGAGTGAGACTCTGTCTCAAAAACAAAAAAAGTGAAAGTACTAAAAGTTATTTTTTTATACATTGATAAACTATTGGCTGGCTAAGTGTGATGCCATAGTCTTTATGTTAAATAGAAAACTGAGACTGTAAGAAAATCAATAAATTATTCATAAATTAAGGATGTTAATCTCCTTATAGAAATGCTAGATTATATTTTCTTCCTAGACCACTGTTTGTTTATTTTTGTGTGTGTGTCACTAGATTAAGATGAAAGTGAAACTTTGACTTTCAGCTAATCTTTGTTTTGCCTTATTCCTCTCAGCTATAAGTGCATATTAGCAGTGTCTGAGATCCTTTATACAGTGTAGCTTTTTAAAAAAATGAATACACTGTGTGTTATATTGTAGGTACACAAGTCACTCATGACTTATTAGAAAAAAAATTTCTAAGTAGGATTAAATGTTCCTTTATACAAATGCCAATTCTAATGTAATTCGTTCTTGCACATATTTTTTTTTTGCCTTTAGTATTTTTTTCCAATTTTCTACTTCAAAATGGTAATACATTCACTTTTTATTCCAACTATTTTTGTGCATTTTTAGCTACTTAATTTTTTTCTGGTAAAGCTAAATATATTTTCACTTACTCAATCTGTTCCTGCTTTTTTCTTATTTGCTTTCTTCATTAGTCTGGTTAATACTGGCTTTATTTGTCCTTTTCATCATAAGTCAGTCTTTCTTTCCATGTGGCACTTTCTACTGCCTGTTTTTTATAGTTTTTGTTTCAATGTGCTTCTTTTGTTTCTTTGTTTGAATTCTAACTTCTTTTCTGTCAGTATTGCCTGTTACCATCAACTTTGATTATGATAAACTATGAAAATGAAGTAACCCTCTTCTTGGCCATCGAATGGAAAGCTGTAGACAGTGCTCAGAGGTCTTTTACCTTCATGAGAAAGAAAATGATAAGTTTCAACCTGAAAGGAGTCAAGTTCATAAAGGCTAACGGTAATCTAAGAGCCATTGGTATTAATATGATTATCAGAGAGAGGCAATTTTCTCTTTGATAAATATCTTTGACTAAAGATATTTTCCCCCGATTGAGGTTAAAACTTCTTTTGTCTCATTCTTGTTTTCCTTGCCGCCTTTCTTCTACCATCTTTATGGTCTTTTTATGGAAATGATTATCAAAATAAAATCAATTTATTTTTCCTACTTGTATCACAGAGATTGTGCTTTTCTTCATTAATACATTGTACTTTTTACAAAATATGCCTACATATATATGTATATATATTAAATCCATTCAAAGTAGCCATACAGTGACCACTTTATTTTCTTGTTATTATCTGATGCTATTAGTTTACTTTTTATTATATTTATGTTATCCACTCTTCTCCCCTCTGTTTATGTGTTTCCTCTGCTGTCACTCCATGCTACATTTGCTTGTAACAGAGTGACACCTCTGTGCCAGGACATGCTCCTTCACAAGAAAACCAACACCAACATTATAAATGTTTTCAGCTTATTATACCAAAGTTTTCATCTTCACATTTTATGATTCACCATTTGGAGGTCACGTGACTGAAAAAAGTATAGCCTCATTTCTGTGGCTACTTTCAGGAAAGTAGTACAATAGTAAATTTGTCTTGCCCAGCTGTAGTCTGATGTATTCCCAGGTGACCCAGAATAGGGCAATAGCCTTGGAGATATGGATAACAGAATCAGTTATTTATTAGTAACAGATATCCAGGCACAGTTTCACCATATTCATATCTAGCACTCCATGTACTGAAGTGGAAGATCTCCAAATTACAATTGCATTTTTATATGAGGAAAATGTAAACAATGAATGTATTTTTTCCATCTCACATGTAAAATATATTGTTTTAATGATTTTCAGCCAATGATCATCTAAGGAATGTGATTTAATGATTTTTATATTGGGAAGTTAGAGTATTTTTTTATCCTGCTGGCAACCCAGCACATTACCAACTCTTACAATTCCCTGAGGAGGAAAATTACTTTTAGTAAATTAAATAAGAACTGAAATTGGTTTTTAAAAAGTGAATACTAACCAGTTTTTGTTGTACATTATCTAGGCTACTTTTGCACAGACAAATCTTTCTTTTGAGGATACTAACAACCACCTAATCTATTCAGTCACTTTTTAATGTCATTTATCTTGGGTACTTTTTACTTGGAATGAATCTTAGATCCTTTTTGCAAGGTAAACATGTTGATATATTGCCTTTTCTATGGACAGTTTAAGTTTAGCAACTTCATCATTCCAAAAATGAACTGTTGCTTCCCACCATGGAATAGGTGGCAGAAGGGAGTGAGAAGGAAACAGCAACAGTGAATGAAGCATGGTAACACCTTTACCATTCTAGATGCCTGCTACCCCACAAATTATATTTTTTAGTTCAAAATTTTTTTCCAGATTTTTTCCTTCAAGACTTAAAAAATATCTCTGCAGATCTATACATAAATATAATATTTTATTTATAAAACGTTAAAAGACTAGATCATTGTTTCTTTCTGAAAATTTAACTTTCTTCTGGAAAAGTTGTATATAATATTTATAACCCTCCCCATTTTAAATTTTACATGCACCTTATTTTTATTTCTGTATACTTCTACACAAGCAAAAGACCTCACTTTTTTCCTTTTGGGTGGAATGATTTATACCCTCAGTGTTGTGCTGAGATGTGTCTTTACAAATCTTGGAAATTGTTCTTCTTTAGAAGTTTTTCTTCTGCAAAAGTAAATAAGTTTAACTTAACAAACATTTGTTGAATATCTTCTATGTAGTATATATGTAGTGTGAACATAACATTTTGGTTATTAATCATTGAGTTGCAAGTAAAAATTTGTTATGTGTTACAATAATATATCCTGAAAATAAAATATCCTGAAATTGTTCTGCAATTGGAAAACCCTTATAAATATTTTTAGGCCAAATTAGAATTACACTTTCTTCTGGAATTGGAAATAAAACTTGTGGGGAATTTTTTATTTTTATTACTAATTTTCTATGATGTTTAAATTATATTTTATCAGAGAATCTAGCAATTAGAGAAAGTTATTTGTATCTTTGGAAGTTTAGGCAAGTTGGGGAAAGGGCAAGATGAAGTTTAATAAAATCTTTGTGCTTTTGTACTCGAGATTTTATAAAAGCTTACATTCACCAAACTTAAGTGGGGTTATTTCTTTTATTGGTTGCTTTCCAGTATTTTAAACTGCTGATTCATTATTGAACATGCTTATGGTCATTCTCCTTTATGTTTATATTTTGTTTGTATATATTTCAATTAGATGGCTTAATTACCATTAAAATGGTACTATAATAAAGATAAGTTTTACAAATGATAATATTAAAAAAACTCTTCAGGAAGGTTTAAATGCCATAAAAATATAAAGCAAGAAATATATGCTTGTCAAATATACAGTATAAATAAATAATTTAGATGAAAATGGTTGACTACATTTAACAAAGAGACTACCAAATAATGCAGGACTAAAGAGTGGTTGTTAGGTTTGATGTACTTCATTTAATATTGTAAGTAATTGCTATCCATAAAAATTCTATGGCTTCTGTATAAGAAAAAGAGACATTTTGACAGGCAACACTAGTATGAAATGACAGCAAGTACAAATCCCTGGCAACTGTCATTTCATTATCCTGCTGTTGAATTCATATCCAAATTGTATGATAACTTAGACCTGCAGGTTTGTTTTTGAGCCACAGTCTGCCAAAGTAGCCACATTTCCTGCTTAAGAGTAGAATTATTAGCCACAGATAAATGTATGCCATAGAAATCTAAACTTAGCAAGGATGTTTTGTGTTTCCACAAGAGGGAAAATAAAAACTCCGCATCATTTTATGCTTATGCTGAAATTT